AAAAAAAAAAAAAAAAAAAAAAAAAAAAAAAAGATTGTAGAAAGTTCTTTAAACCATCATATTGATAGTAACATAATCAAAATTAGGATGTTATTTGTAGCATTTTGTCTTCCACTTGAGCATCATTGTCTCTGTTTCTACCAAAAGAACATTATCTTTTTATGAACCTCACTGGGCAATCATCGTGATCATGATTTTAATAATGTATAATGTATTGATTATCGTATACAAATTGTAAGCTGAGTGCCTCATAGGCAGCAGTTCTCTTAATCTTGCTCATAGCACCACATGTCCAAATTATCAGACCATGGTATATTTAGGAATGGATTTAGAGAGGCCGAGTGGCTCATCTATGACTACACCATTGGGAAGAAGCAGAACCCCCAATCCCTGTGTTGATAACGCAGGCCTGACTGACTCAGGAGTCAGCACTCACGGTGGCTAGTCAGAAAACAGAGCCGAGAACTGGTGTTCTTCATCATCCAAGACCCATGTTCAGGCAGCATGGAAGAGTTTGGGGACAAATTGCAATTTCAAAGAAGCATGACTTTTTTTGGTACCAGGGAGAAGCATGATGTTTTTATAACAGGCATTTTAGTGATCATCTAGTTCAACTCCTTTCCATTATAGATTAGGAAATAGAATTAAGTGACTCAAGGGTCAGCCTCATCACACAGCCAGTGAGCAACAGGCCTGGCATTAGAGCCTAGGGTGCAGCTTCCCAGTGCTTTGAAAACTTTACTGACTTGAGTTTGTGTCTGACCCGTGAATACTCCGCAGACAGATGTGAAATACCTTAGATGTAGGTGGATAATAAAGTTGATTTCTTAGAAGATCACCTTTGTTAGTGAGACACTGTTGTGTGGAGAAAAATGAAAGATTGAAAACTTATTTGCTTACATGCTTTCCCCCCCCTTTCATATTTACCTTTTTAGATAAAGAAAGCCACCCACCACGGAAATTTCCTTCTGATAAAATTTTTGAAGCCATTTCCTCAATGTTTCCAGATAAGGGCACAGCAGAAGAACTAAAGGAAAAGTAAGATTTGTTCTGTTTAGGCATTGTGTGATATGTATGTCATCGTTCTGGTTCATTCCATGTGGACCTGTTATGTCTGATAAGCCACTCCCCCTTGTGTACAGTGTGCACAGGCTTTGTCAGACAGCATATGTGTATGTGTGTGCTGCAGAACATTTATCAGAGAGGAATACGTGTATATGTTATACACACATACACATACACATGCACACACACGGAATTTATAATTGTACATTGTAGGAAAATTTCTCTGGGTCCTGGTTGAAATTTTAGTGCATTTGGTGTTGAGTCTAAACTAATTGAATCATATCTTTTCGTATCAGTGAATTTGATTTTTGATACATCATGCATAATACTTAATTGAGTCTTTAAAGATTGTTGTAGGTTCGATATTTTTCTTTGTGTTATAAAGCAAGGTAAACAAAACATTAACATGGAAACCTTTTAGAAACTTTATTTTTAAAAAATTTGGTTTCAGACTTACTTACATTTTTTTTGGTTGATATCAGATACAAAGAGCTCACCGAGCAGCAGCTCCCAGGTGCACTTCCTCCCGAATGTACCCCCAACATAGATGGACCAAACGCTAAGTCTGTGCAGAGGGAGCAGAGCTTGCATTCATTTCATACGCTTTTCTGTCGGCGATGTTTTAAGTATGACTGCTTCCTACATCGTAAGTGCAATTATTGTACGTTTTCATTTTCTATCTTTGTTGTGGAATATGGTTTAACATGTCTTAAAAAGTGCTGTCATTTATGGCAACTAGAATTTACCATTTAATCTTGTAGTTAAGATTGGAAAACATTGCTAGGATCCTACTATTGTTATTTTTACTTTGTTGCTTGAGGATTGCTGTGAAGTCTTTATTTAATCTGGAGCACTGTTTCTCCCACACAGACCATGCTGAAGTTACTGTGAACTAGCCCAAGTCTGCTGGTATTGATACATTGTTTGTTTGTTTGTTTTTTGGGACCTTGATCCCAGGCCATGACACCACAAAGCTAAATTCCCGGCCCTCGATACATTATTTTTGAATTAGAAATTGGCTACAAAGATGTTTATATAAACAGATGTTTGTGTTTATTGTTAAATCTTTCCTATTACATATTTGGACTTTTGTGTAAGTTGTTTATAAATGAATGTGTTTAAATACAAGCAAAGCATAAAATATTCTGTATTAAATTTAAGCATGATACATATATTAATTTTCTCCATGATGTTTATAGAGACAGGATTTTTAGTAAAATTTGCAGATAATTGGAACTTATTTAAGTGTAGTTAGTTAGTTAGCTTATTTATTTATTTATTTTTGGTTTTTTTGGAGACAGGGTCTCACTGTGTAGTTGAGACTGACCTGGAACTCACTGCGTAGCCCAGGCTGGTCTCACACTCATAGTGATCCTCCTGCCTCAGCCTTCTGAGTGCTGGAATTACCAGGCATGTGCCACCACACCCGGCTAGAAGTTTTTTTTTTTTGGTACTGGTCCTTGCGCAGGCGGTGGAACCACTGAGCTAAATCCCCGGCCCTGCTATTTAAGTAAAGTTTAGATGAAAGCATTAATTGCTAACACATATTTTGAAAATATACTTCATATCTAATTTTCCTGGTGTTTATATACAGTTTAACCTTTTCTGTATTGCAATTTAGTGTGCCTGTCTTTTGTATTATTACACCTCTGGGCCATTTGACCTTGCATCCTTGTTTTCCCCACATTGTTTTGCCTGTTTTGAGCCCTGCCACCCCCACTTGTTAGAGATTTTTCCCCTTCTGATCCGTTGTCCTTAATATAAACAAGCTTGCCCAATCAGCGGTATCTGGCTCGCTTACTTTTAAGTTTTTGCTTTACATACTTATATTTGTTGCCACTCATAATTTGTTGGGTGATGTATATTTGGTCTGGAAATATTAAGTTTGTGTGTGTGTGAGAGAGAGCGAGCGAGCGAGCGAGGGAAGGAGGGAGGAAGAGAGACACACATCTAGTGGTTTGGTTATCTTAGAAAAACGAAGTAGAATTTTAGAATTATTGTGTCCCTCTCTACTGTTGACTGTATTCCTTATTTAGTTAACCAACTTGGCAGTTTTAATACCCTATAGGTCATTGTTCATTTGTTGTAGCCATTGTACAGGTATCAAATATCATATTTGGACTTGGCCTTATTACCTTCACATAGCCTTCGAAATAGCTGCATTGCACTTTGATGTCATTTTACGCAGTGTTGTTAAACGCCCATTTTTCGTGAAAAAAGTGGTATAGTGGCACATGGCTGTTATACCAGCTACTTGGGAGACTGAATCAGGAGGATGGCAAGTCCAAGGCCAGCCTGGGGAACTTAATGAGACTATCTCAAAATAAAAAAAAATAAGTGCTGGTGGTGTAGCTTAGTGGTAGAGTATCTCTGGGAATTATCTTCAGTACTGCCAAAAAATTTTATAAATTGCGTTGCCATGCTACTATAGCAAAATAGTTGAGTAGGTGCTATATTTTGGAGTCACTGAAAAGGTCCTTCCAATTTGTCACTTCGCTATGTAGTGTTTAACATACTCCTTTTTATGTACAGAAGAAACGCAGGAATAGGGATAGTAGCCTTAAACATTATTCCAAGAGTTCTTTTCTTGTGCAATTCAGCGATGAGTAATTTTGATAAACTTTGGACCTGTTAATTATCTCATTAGTCAAGCTGGGGAGGGAGGGAGGGAAAGAGAGATTTGCTTCTCTTGAGTACAAGTGACTTCCACTTCCCTGGGAGCAGGCAGCTTTCACTTTCCCTGACAGCTGAGCCAGTCTTGTCATGGTTCAGTGTGAACACATTGCAAAGGTGTTTCCCTGCTGTACAGACTTACAGTACTACTCTGCTTTTCTTCAGTGAAACAGGCTATTAGATAAGTCATTATATATCAGATATGGTACCTTGTGCTTTATGGTTTTTAAAAAAAATCTCTATATTGGGGATACTGTACTTTTTAGAGCATGTAAATGAGTTAATAAAGTACATAAATTAATATAGGCTGAATATTTAAAATGGTATTTGGCCCCTATAAACTGCTATTTAGAATATCATCACATGATTTACATTCAAAAAGAAGAATTAAAATGTTTATAGTGAAGTCTCCCACCTCTGACCCCGTCTGTCAAATTTTCATCTTACTTTGCTGTAGTCAGACCCCCTGTACAAGTTTGTGTCTTTCACAATTTCTTTGGTAAATATATCTCCCAACATCTTATTCTAATGGCACCCTGGTCCCCAGCCTGTCCTTTTCTTGACTTACTGTTACAGATTTTTGCACTAGCCCTGTGATGTCTTGAACTGGTGGTCCCCAAGGGTGATGACTGGGATCATGTCCAGCCTTTTGCTATAATGGTGTCACAGAGAATGACCTTACCCACCCCTGGCCCTGCTTCCCACAGGTTCAGTGTCACTGATGAGCTCTGTTTAGCTATGTGGGATAGGCCACCTGAAAGATTGCTCAGTGTAACACTGTCTTCCCTAAACCGCTATCAATAGAGAGTTAGCAAACTAATTTTGATGTTGTAAAATTGACTTTATAAGGAAAAAATGGCTTCTAATTTAAATTTTTTTTTTAATAAGAGTGGAGAATCTTCATAAATGTTAAGCGATTCTTATTTTCTGTGAATTATTTCTGTTTTTTTGGCTCATTGGTCTTTTTGAAATCCAGGAGCTCTTCATATAGTTGGGAAATTAGTGTTTTTGAATTATGATGGCTGTTTTCTCCCCTAGTTTGTTGTTTGGTGAACACCAAATCCCTGTGGGGTCTTAGCAGAGCAGGCTCACACAGCTCTTGTCATAGGCTATGTTGTTATGCAGAGCCTGATGAGCCCTAGGGCAGGACTGCTGCTTGGACAGCTGGAGAGCTCCCTCTGGAGTTTTACAGGCAGCTAGGTGGATTTCCTGAGTCTGCTGCAGAGGGTGTCTGGTTCGTCAAGATCTCAGTTTTGCTGCTGAAGACAGCTGGTTGGGGAGGGAGTCCTTATTTCTTGAGGGGGAGGTTGTCTTTAAGAGATGCTTGCTGCTGCTGTTCTGGAAGCCTTAGCTGTGTGAGCCCCAATGGAGTCCAAGGTGACCTCAGGCTTAGGGCAGTGATTGATGGGGGACCTGAATGTTCTGGCAATCTGTCTTGGTGTCCTCATTCTTGAGAGAAGGGCTAGGGTAGGTGCTGTATGTTCAAGGCACCTTATAGACAGACTCCCTAAGTGACCCGAGGAACTTGCCTTTGTGCTGTGTTGAGGAGGATTCGACCCACACTTTACCAAACTGCAGAGGGAAGCTCTGTTCTGCTTTCATTCACCTGTTGGGCACGTGCAAGTCCAAGAGAAGTCACTGTTGTTGAGCAAAAAACTCTTTTAAGGCCCTGACTGTCTCAGAAGAAAACACAAATCTTGCTTTTTAGTAAGTAGCAGGTTAAGCACTTAGGGAATTTGTCTTCTGTCTCTATAGTAGTCGTTGTGTCATTTCTGTAAACAAAAATTAACAGTTTCTAATAAAGTTAGTTGTGTCTTTTTTTTTCCTTTATAGAGCTGGGGACCGAATGCCGGTCCTCATGCACACTAGGCAAGCGTTCTACACTGAGCGACATCCAGTCTTTTTTTTGAGACAGGAACTCACTAGTTGCCCTAGCTGGCCTTCAACTTGAGATCCTCCTACCTCACTGCATGCATCAGATTGTCTTTGCTATTAGGTAGAAATTTGTTTTTAATATTCCTTCTGGAATGTGTATTAATGATGACTGTAGAGATTTTACTGTCTCATATGCTTAGAATTTCTCTTACCAGAGGTTGTAGCTATAGTCTTTTGCTCTGCCAGCTGAGTTTCAAATGCTTAGAATTTCAAAGAAAAAATATCCAGAGTTTGTGATCCATGTTGACATTTTAACATTTTCGAATATATAATGGTTGCAAGTTCAGATGTGCTTGAACTTATATTTGCTGTGTACTTACCCGTGTGACTTATCCTCCTCAGATCTTAAGTGTTCCTCATGTGCACAGTGGGGTAGTTTTAATAACTGGCCATTTCATGTGGATAAAAAGATAATGTCCAAGCCTTATGACATGCTCTGTAGACTTCAGGTGTAGGATTATTTATTGTCAGGTGCTGTTACTCTATTCCTGTGCTCTTATATGGATATGGATTATTTTGTGAGGTTCTTCTCTTCGTAAAAGTCTGATATCTTGTGATATACACAAAAGAATTGATATATTCCAGCTATTCAATGAGAATTTATTCTTAATACCAAGTTCTGCTCGAGCAGATGTGATCAGTAGTTTAACTGACACTTTACTAACATGTGATCCTTTATCACGTGACAACAGGCTTCAAGGAAGTGTTTCAGAGGGGGTAGATGCCAGTGATAGTGATCACAAAGACTGATGGGAGGGATCAAAATACTGGTCTTTTATTGTAGTGATAAGAGTACTAAGTGAGGTACATGTAGGCAAATTATTCTCTTTGTTCCTCTTTCCTAATTTTAAAATCACCACTGGAAATACATGATTGCTAGTTTGTTCCAGCTCTAATCCTCTGCTCCCACAGTTCTGTATTGTGGCAGCAATTTGGTAAAAACTGTGCAAGATTCTAAGGGCTACTTGCTATATTTTAACTATTTTCTAGAGCTGCCGATTTGATCTCATATTTGGTGCAACTGAAATTGTGTATTGTCTCTTACCTTTGCTTAAAAATTTGATGCAGTTCTTTATCAAGATTTTATAGGTTGCTTTTGAAATAAAAATGCCCAGTGTCCATGTTCTTTCCTTTTTTGGGGGGGTGGTGGTAGAAGGATTGAACTTTGGACCTTGCATTTGAGAGGCAGGGATAGCACCACTGAGCTAAATCCCTAGCCCCATATTCTCTCCTTTTGTACAATTTAATAAGTTTTTTGCCTTCATTTCTCTTCTAATGATTTTTCTGATCAGCTGTATTTCCCCCCTGGTTCTTGGGACTGAATCCAGGGCTTTGTGCAGAGTGGGAAAGTACTCTACCACTGAGCTTCATCCCCGTCCGTTATTGGGCAAGAGTATATAATTTCCCATATTATATGTAGTTTGAAATATATTCTGATACCTTATTTTGAATACTAAGTTGCCAGATTGGAAGGATTATGTTTGATCTTCTGGAAATCCTAAGACAGTCCAGACATTTCTAGAAAAGAGAATTCTTTGTACATGTAATTTCCCTGCAGAATTTCAAATTCTGAGGGAAATCTAAGTCATAAGGATAGTTCTCTTTCTAGTTTTAGCTAACTACACTGTGAAATTAAAAGTGATACATTCTAATTGTTTAAAACAACTTTTGGCGATTAGCATGTTTTTCCATTACAGCTTTGCTTATTCTTGCTTTAAGCTGCATGGGTTGGGTGAGGGTTGTTCCCTGGTTCTGACCCAGGTGTCTTGTAGTTCAGGGACAGGGCAGTTCCTGCAGGTATGCGTGTCTGTGCCTGTGAACTCACCATGGTGTGGCCGGGCAAGGCCTGTGTTCAGCAACACAGATCTTTACCCACACTGTGCACTGTGTCAGTGAAGGGCTCATCTCTTAGGCTGAGTTGTTCCTTGCTGGTAAGACAACTGCAATCTCCCTGTGCTCAGGCTTTGTGTTTTGAGTACTCAGTGCCAAGTCAGACATACAGTGTGGCTGTTTTTCTGGAAGAAACTGACTCATACGCTTGAAGCAGAAGTGGAGCCTTAAATTTCTACTTTCAAAGCCTCTTTGGGGCTGGGGATATAGTTGAGGGGTAGAGTGCTGTTCACTGCACTTGAGGCACTGGGTTTGGTCCTCTGCTAGAAAAATAAGTAAATAAAAGATTGTCTTTTATTAAAAAATTTTTTTTTGGTACTGGGGATCGAATTCAGGATCTGAGCTTGCAAGGCAGGCACCTGCACCACTGAGCTAAATCCCTGGCCTTTATCTTTTATTTTTTATCCTTCCCTCACCAGTCTGCCTTTTTATGTACCCAAGTTTTATGAAACTTAACCTTGGCTTTTTATAAATACTTTAAAAATGATTTGTGAATGTGGTACTTGTTTTAAATCCAAATTAATTTTCAGTTTGTGTAATTCTGATAGCCTGCTTCAAGGATTTGCCTTGGAATGCAAAGAAGCAGAATTTGTCAGAATTGCCCAAAGTTTGCTTCCATGCACCGTGTCCATCATTCAATCTTTTAGTACACTAGTTGGAAAATTTAAATTTTAGGCACTTTTCTGTCTTTCTAAAACCTTTTCTCTGACCATTTTACTTCCCCTTAATAAGGCTCTGGCCTTCACTAAGTTCTTAACTTGCGCATGATTCAGAAGTATTGAGGGTTAGTAATCTGGAGCTGTCCTTTTTATCCTCTGCAATGAGTTTTAGCAAGTGGTATCTCCCCAACTGAATTGGTTGCTGACCTTTGGAAATCAAGAAGTTATAGATGCCAGAATTCTCTTGTTAAACACAGGAAATTGAATCTCACGTTAGAGTATCTACTACATACATGGGATATTCACTTCAGTTTAAATAAATGTTTATAATCCTAGTTTATGTCCAGTCATACTTGTAGAGAGAAAGTAAGTCACTATTCTAGAGCCTACTGTGTTTCTTGCTTAGGGGTTGGAGACACAGCAGATACATTGAAGTATTTTAGTAAGAGCCTGGAAAGTTGTGTAAAGCCCTATAAATACCTGTTGGCAAGATTATAATTTATTAATTGATTTTTGTAGTGGAGCTGGGAAAATAAAGCTTTTTTATCGTTATATTCAGATAGTTTGTGTTTATTTTATAGCTTTTCACGCAACACCCAACACATACAAGCGGAAAAACACAGAAACAGCTCTGGACAACAAGCCTTGTGGACCACAGTGTTACCAGCACCTGGTGAGACCTAGCACTTTCTTATTGAGGAGGGTTCTGAAGGAGTCTTAATGGTGAACCTTGGTGGAGGTGACGAAGCCAGTGTTAATGCTGTCTGTTCCCATACCTCTGCTGGCCAGATGACAGGCAGCTTTCACACCCATGTTTCTTCTGTAGCTCATGTATGGCACAGTTTAGCTTTCATTGATCTTGTAGTATTCTTTATCTGTGCCATCTCTACAGCAACATTTCAAGGTCTTTAGGATCACTGAGGACTCTTATGCCTTCCACAGAGTTTATGGGAGTGTGAAGCACAGCTTGCCCATGTAGACAGCAGTAATTGTATGTGGTTGTAGTTCTTAAGCCTTCGTCATAGCTGGTTCCTGAAGTGAGTATTAGACACACCTCTGTAGATTGAGCTGTACTGTAGAGATCTCACAGATTTCTTTAAAGTGATGGAGAAAAGGTAAGGGTTTAGGAAAATAGGTAGAAAAGTTGTTTTTACGGGTACTATCTTATTTTTACCATTTCCCCTCTTTGAACCAAGCCACTCCTACCTAGGAACTAAATGGGTATATATTGCCTGTTGGATTTTGGACAGAAGATTCATTGAATGGCACCTGCAGAAGGTATCCTATTTTTAAGCAATTTGGTTTTATAGAATGAAGTATAAGACTATTGGCTGCTCTCAAACTTCTCCCTTCTGTTTCCACTAAAAATGGAATTCTTGAGCACTGTTTTATAATACGCTTTACAAGGCAGAACTTTATTTGGCTCATCTAAAATGTTTCTGTGGTCTCTCTGTACACCATGCTCTCCACGTTGTTTTGTATTTTCTGAGACTGGATTATTGTCCAGAATGCAAATGTAACCTGTAGTCTTGTTCCTGAAGTTCTTTTCATATCTTCCTGTGGCTCTGCATCCTCCACAGGAAAAAAGTTACTTGATATTTTAATAGGATAGAAAGTGACAAAGCTATGCATGTTTGTATGTTTTGTGTTCTTACATACTTTAAATATGTAAAGAGAGATGCCTTATCTTAAGCCTTGAAATACAAAGTCTGACAATGCACATTAGGTGTATGATTCTTATATTCACTTTTAAATAGACTGAATGAGTATGTATGTGTATACAGGGAATACTATATTATGTGCAGTTTAATATTCGGACTTAATTATAATCAGTAATTTCACAAATTCACCATGTAGAAGTCTTGCCTGATCTTATACTACTCTAGTGATATGTTGAACCCATATTTATTCTTTCTGAAGTTTTCAAACAAAAACAGATCAGAAGCATTTTTTAGATATGCAGTGTCTTTTTTTCTCCGGCCAGGGTGAGGTTTAGAACTTTACCCTAATGTCTTGTTTTTCATTTCATAGGAGGGAGCGAAGGAGTTTGCTGCTGCCCTCACAGCTGAGCGGATAAAGACCCCGCCCAAGCGCCCTGGGGGCCGCAGGCGAGGCCGGCTCCCCAACAACAGCAGCAGGCCCAGCACCCCCACCATCAATGTGCTGGAGTCAAAGGACACTGACAGTGACAGAGAAGCAGGGACTGAAACTGGGGGAGAGAACAATGATAAAGAAGAAGAAGAGAAGAAGGATGAAACATCAAGCTCTTCTGGTAAGGCGCACTGAGAGTGGGGTTTTGCTGTTGTCTTGCAAGTTTCTTGTTGTGAAGAGCAAGGATGTTGGATGCATTGATTATTTTTCCTAGTTGGTTACCTTTCAGTATAATAAACAATCTTAGACCAGAGAATTCAAGCTTGTGAAGCTGAATCATTACTTCATGTGCATGCGTTATTGAAAGGCTGTGGGTCTAGTTCCTTCTTGTACTTTGTGCTTTCCCCTTGCATCTTTCTGACAGGGCATCATGAAATTCACATCATGTACTTGAATATCTTCTGTGTAGTTTTGGTTAGAAAATGAGAACTGCGAGTGAGCTGGCAAACTGACTGGATTTAGTTGCTCTTTTATTGTGAATTTCACCTTGAATGATAGCCTGACCATTTGTGTTCATTTTAGACCGTTGGTTTAAAGAATGCACAGTTTACCGGGCGTGGTGGCGCACACCTGTAATCCCAGCACTAGGGAGGCTGAGGCAGGAAGATCGCTGTGAGTTCGAGACCAGCCTGGGCTACATAGTGAGTTCCAGGTCAGTCTCACTACATAGTGAGACCCTGTCTCAAAAAACCAAAAAAAAAAAAAGAAAAAAAAAAGTGCACAATTTTATGGTTTGGGGTGTTCTTGCTGGTATTGTTTTTACCCTAAAATATGATTGCATTCCTTCTATTTTCTTAAGCACACCCTGAATTTTATTTTGTAATAAACCACTGCTTATATTTGGTTTTGTAGAAGCAAATTCTCGGTGTCAAACCCCAATAAAGATGAAGCCAAATATTGAACCTCCTGAGAATGTGGAGTGGAGTGGTGCTGAAGCCTCGATGTTCAGAGTCCTCATAGGCACTTACTATGATAATTTCTGTGCCATTGCCAGGTTGATTGGGACCAAAACATGCAGACAGGTAAGCATATCTGATAAGAATATTGTGACAGCTTCAAATATGCAGATAGTATGTACTCACTGACCAAACAGAAAACATCTGGTTATTGTTAGGCTTCTATTCTGAAAAGAATTAAAACTACCCTCTCGCTCAAGGAAATGAATAAAAATTGTTCTTATGTTGTGGTGCAGAATTTGCCCACTTCGTATTTTTAAGGCTGGGGTATAGTAGATTTGGAAAGCTAGAAAGCACGAAGACTTGGGTCAGTATCGATACCAGTTGTGGACAGTGATTGCTACTGCACCCTAGCACTGTGGTGTCAAGGGAAGGACAGAGACACTTGCTTTGTGTGCTTGACCATGGGGTGGCGCCTCAAAGTCAGACTGTCCTCATGACACCACCTCTGCTCTTGACAGGTGTACGAGTTTAGAGTCAAAGAATCTAGCATCATAGCACCTGCTCCTGCTGAGGATGTGGACACTCCTCCACGAAAGAAGAAGAGGAAACACCGGTAAGCTGTAGAGCGGTCCACAGGAGCTGCCAGGGATAGAAGCTACAGGCGGGGCCCCTCTCCAGGGCAGGTTCAATGCCACACAGACAGGCCTGTGGCATCTTATAGAAATGCATCATTTTCAGTAAATTTGGCATGTTAGGAATTATAAAAACTACTATTACCACACTGCATTTTGGTTAAGAAAAACACGTTTGCAGTAAAAACTATGTGACTGCTCTTGTTTGTTGTGAGAAGCTGTGAGCTGTGTCCAGCCGAGCAGTCTGAGCAGTGGCCTTTAGTCTTAGAGCCCAAGTTTTCTAGGTGTGTCCCTGAGAGCTGCCCTGCGTATGACCATTCATGAGGCTTGTGTGATGATGAGCATAGTGAGTGTTCTCAGGCTGACTGGATTTCTAAATGCAAGGCCAGGAAAATCATGGAGGAACTCCCCTTGCCCCAACCTACTTTTTAAAAATGAGAAGCATAGATGTGTGGTTGAGGGGAGCAACTTGATTATGCTTCAAAAATTGTATACAGGCTCACATTACACTTTATATTAATGTCTCTGATGAATATTTAGAACTTAAATTAGTAAGTTTTCCCCATAGGAGTGTAGGCTGTTAAGATATGCCTGAAGTTTTGGTTGTTTCTGACCATGTAGTTCAGTGATATGGTTAGCCATAGAAGGTGTCCTCATTCTCGCTGTTCAGCTCAGAATACCTGATAGGATCACCCATTGCCACATGAGGCCTGGGACTCCTTCAGCTCCCCACAGACACGAGAAGAACCAGAAGCCACCCCACCAAGCTCACCTGGTGAGCCATCAGGTCCCGTGGGCAGTGGGAGACTGGCTCTGCAGCACCGCTCTGTCCATGGCACAGTAGAGCCAGCTCAGCAGCTCTTGGTTGTGACTGTACTCCCAGCTTCACACAGAAGTTTATATTGTATTTTCTCTGTTTTTCCAGGTTGTGGGCTGCACACTGCAGAAAGATACAACTGAAAAAGGGTTAGCATCTTCCATTCAACTTCATTACTAGTTTCAAATGTTCTCATTTGATTTAGAACAGTAACTGGATCAGAGTTTGGGGTATTGACTTCTGTACACTGTACCAGTTCTAATGGAAGATTTGTGTTGATGAACCTCTAGTCAATTTTCTCTTGAGAATAGGAGCTTGAGTGAGTGAGACAATGAGGAGGAGGAGGAAAAGGCTTTGGAAATGGGATTGAGCTCGAGGCCCATTTCCCCAGCACTTGGGGGTGGGGGGTGATGTATACCATCATTTTATAAATAGGGCTGTGAGCATCATATGCACATTAAAGGAAGCTCTGAAGGTGAAGCTGAAGGTGGCGGGGAGGAAACTATTTTGTTTGTTTTGATGATCATTTCCCATCTCCCTGCATTCATTGGCTGTGTGCTGTTATCTTTACTCAGACGGCTCCTCTAACCATGTTTACAACTATCAACCCTGTGACCATCCACGGCAGCCTTGTGACAGTTCGTGCCCTTGTGTGATAGCACAAAATTTTTGTGAAAAGTTTTGTCAGTGTAGTTCAGAGTGTAAGTATTTGTTGCTTTGATGCAATTGCATGAGAACTGAATAGGTGTGTAAAGTAACTCCCAAGGACACTTTTGCTTACTCTAGGAAATGGCATTTATTCTGCAAGTATTTATCGAGCCCATAACAGCACCATGCCTACGGCCAGTTGTACTCCTGTGTGATTGTGTATGTGCACAAGTTAGGCAGAATTTATGTTAAAGGACCAATTTTTCAGTTTTTTATTTAAATAAGATCATGGTAGAGGTGGCAGAATACGGGGAGGGCGTTGTAGAAGTAGTTGTCAAACATCTTGGGACACCAGAAATGGTTGGCATATGCAAGACAGTGGCATCAGGGTGCTGGGCTTCTTTTGGTGTGCAGTGAGGCTGACATGGAGCTCAGGGCTAAGGCAGGGCCTATGAAGATGGGCTTGGGAACGGTTAAAGGCCATGGATAGTTGATGTTTATTTAGTCCATGTGCTCCCTCTATTCCTGTTTTCTTAGTCCTCGAGACCATTTAGCAAATAAAAAATGGAAAGCAAGAATGCAGTGCTGAGCCTTGCTGGCCTTCATTTCCTCCTTTGTCCTCTGGGATAGGAGGGTACTTTTGGGCCAGTTACTCCACACAGTAGTTGCTGCAGCCCTTTATGCAAGTTGTGTGTGACAGAGGCTGATGGGGGCGATGACAATGACTGAATCTCTAAAGGTCAGAACCGCTTTCCTGGATGCCGCTGCAAAGCACAGTGCAACACCAAGCAGTGCCCATGCTACCTGGCTGTTCGAGAGTGTGACCCAGACCTCTGCCTGACCTGTGGAGCTGCAGACCACTGGGACAGCAAAAACGTGTCCTGCAAGAACTGTAGCATCCAGCGGGGCTCCAAAAAGGTGAGCAGCAGCCCCATTGGGAAGATGGCCTGCTTGGCCACCAGTTAGCTGGGTGGCAGAAGTGTGATTTGTTTAACTTGGTGCAGATGACAAGAGAGAGAAGTATGTTTTTCTTTGGGTGATGGTAAGAGAAGCTGCCATTGATGGTGTCAGATTTAGAATAAACGTTTTTCTTTGCTAAAGTGATGATTTGAGCCAGGCACTGTGGCACACTAACCCTGCTTGGGAGGGTGAGGCCAGTCTGGGCAATTGGGGACACCCTGTTTAAAAACACAAAACTAAAACAAAAAGCACACGATTAGTTTCTTTTTAATTTAGCTAACAGAGCTAGGTGTTTTATCTCCCTAATGCAAATACGTGTAATTTCTGTCAAGATGTAGAGACTTATTATCATCCGATAGTAATTTAGGTTCCTTCATATATAGTAAAAGGTGAAATTGTTCATGGCAAGTTAAACAGCCCAGCCAGGAATTAGTATTGGAAGCCTGGGAATTGCATGTCAGTGATTTTAAAAGTAGCTATCAGAAATTACTGAGCAGAACTTTTAATAGTAGTAAGGACTGGGGTAATTCAGTATCTTTTTTAAGTGTAGCTGTTCCGATATAATTCGTCAATCCTTATCAAGAGTTAGGTTTTGGATGAAGAAATCCAGAGTTATAAGATGTGGCAGTGAAGGAGCAGGAGGGCCAGAGGGGCAAAGATCATGCTGCTGGAACTCTTACCCAGCGGAAACACTCAGCCTCTGTGCCTTTAAGCCAGTGTCTCTGCTCAGGACAGGTGTCCTCTCTGGATAAGATCAAGGGTCATCCTTTTAATTTAGGTGGCCAAGTATCTGCTGGGCTGCAGATCAAGATGATGCTGGCTTAGTTTCCATGGTTCACATGCTCAGACCAAAAATTCCATGATTCCCCTGACCCCACACTAGAATTAGAGGGGTTTTCCCTCAGTCTACTCAGAAAGTGGGTGACACTGTTTGTGCCAGTATGTACTGACATCTTTTAATTCTCAAAAAATAAGATTTTATGTAGATACTTTTTACCAACTGAGTTTTATTTGGGGATTCACCCATGGAAGGCAGCCTGGATACTGTGATGAGTGTCTTTCTGAAGATCACAGGATGTAGTGTGGGGGAGACTGAACCCAGGGGTGATCTATTGCTAAGCCACACCCAGCTTCACAGGAAGATTCGGAGTATAAGGCATAAGGACCCATAGTGAAAAGTTAGTGTTTTGGAATGAATCTCTGACTATGCCACTGACATCAGTGGGCATATCTTGATATTCTCTGCTAAAAGTAGAATGTGGCGAAGGCTGAGGAGTTTGTGGCTGCCCTAAGATCTTGTTTTAAACAAAGTTAGAATGTGGAAGTGCTGGGGATTACAAACCCAAAAGAATTGGCAGGGCCTCTGGAAGACTGGACAGTGGCAAGGAGCAAGCATGTCCTGCAGACTTGCACTGGTATGAGTGTGGAGAAAAGTCAGGACACTCAGCCCCCTCACTGGCTGCAACTGTGGCCAACTCTTCTGTGCCCCTGAATGTTTAGAAGACATTTTCCCAGCTCATGCCCATGCTCAGTGTTGATGCTGCTGTAGACCAGGTTTGTAATGGTAACGTGGGTTTTCAGTCTAGCACCTATTTGTCACCAGCCTGTTTTTGCTGTCCTTTTTTTTGATTGCGTGATTATGCTTTATTCTCTAGCATTTACTACTGGCACCATCAGATGTAGCAGGCTGGGGGATTTTCATCAAAGATCCTGTGCAGAAAAATGAGTTCATCTCAGAATACTGTGGAGAGGTGAGGCGCACTCTTTGGCTGCATTCTTGAGGAGCTGTTGGTAACACTGCTTTCTTCTGAGCAATTCCATTGCATTGGATTAGAAATGAAACAATACTGAAGTGCCTTTTGGCTCAGACTCAACGTTTGTGGTTTTGGTTTGCTGAGTACCTCAACTGCTTCTGCTCTTGCCACATTTATCAGCTGGAGATGAGGGGAATAAGAGCTTGGCTATGTGGTCCATCCTCGGTCTACGGCTTAGTGACAGGGACCAAGAATAAGTCATTAACACCTGGTTAAGTTAGGGAAAACATCATCAGGAGCTTCAGTGGATTTCAAAGTTAGTTTGATTGTTAATCACCCCCTCCAAACATAAGCACTGTGGGTATGGGATTCCTGATTGGGAATTCTTCAGATATTGTCACCTGCGAGCAGACCTAGTGAAGAGCAACCAGCTGCAGCAACAGAAGGTCCCAGAGTCTCTTGAAGGCCAGGCTTCATTATCACTGCACTGTGATTTCCTCCTGTGCTTTTTAGATTATTTCTCAAGATGAAGCAGACAGAAGAGGAAAAGTATATGATAAATACATGTGCAGCTTCCTGTTCAACTTGAACAATGGTATGTTTCTGAGTGGAGGGCAGAATTGGCTTGGGAGCCTTCAGCTGGCGGAGGATTTGGAGGGCAGGGCAGCAGGCTGCTCTGGGTTCTGGCTTTGCGGGGACATTCTTCATGTCCCTCCCTCTACTGTTGCTTCCCTTAGACACCTATGAACTTGGGGTTGAGTAAGGCAGCACCCCTTCTCCAGCCAGCACCTCTGACCTGGATGGAGTGGGGCACTGTACCTGGAAACTCCTTCCAGACTTACCCTGGATTTGAGCCCAACCTGAGAGGAGGCAGCTTCTCTTACAGCTGCTACCCCGTGTGTCTGCTGGCATTCACATGGAGGTGTTCAGCGAAACTCAGCTGGGCCAAGTAGTTTTTTTGTTTTGTGAAAATGCCTCCTGTCCTCCTCCTTTTGGAGACAGTGGTGTGCGCCACCATACTGGAGAAAATGTCTATTCTTGACATTTGGAGGAATCATCAGGTCCCTGTTTTGGCTGTATTTTGCTTTGCCCTGTATATTTATACTGACAAATAGCATTTGAGATAAGCAGTGATGCAATCTTGAATTAGCAAGGAATAATCTTTACCTAGAGAACACTAGCATTTTCTTCTAAGAGGCATTTCATACTGAGTGAAGCTGGGTGGATCATGTGCTTTTAAAGTCAAATCCTGAAGAACTAGAGCCAGGTGTATTTGTGCCAAGTCACCTGCTGGACTCTGCTTGTTCTCCTCTCTAGATTTTGTGGTGGATGCAACCCGCAAGGGCAACAAAATTCGTTTTGCGAATCACTCAGTAAATCCGAATTGCTATGCAAAAGGTGGGTATTGAGGAATAAGATTCTCTCAGCCTAGTGAGAGCATCGCCAAGGGCTGTGTGGATGGGTTGGGCGGCTCTGGACCACACAGTCTGCTGAGTGACACCACTGTCTCCTTGCAGTCATGATGGTGAATGGCGACCACAGGATCGGCATCTTTGCGAAGAGGGCCATCCAGACTGGTGAAGAGCTGTTCTTTGATTATAGGTTGGTGAAGTGTGTTTCTAGGGGCATCTTGGGACTGTGGGCAGTGCATGGAGCTTCCTTCTGGCTCTTTACTAGCTTTGCTGCGGGGTTGGTTCTACTACCCTGGTAGTGGAACTGTTTTGTCAGTCGTACAAGTACTGCTTGTTTTTGGAAGTACAATGAAAACTCATTTTCTCACGCTGCTAGTGACAGGTGCTTCTTGGACCCTTATCTGAGCTCTACTCAGTCTGACCGCTACATTCACAGCTGGTCTTATCATGAACCCCATACCATGCCACTGTCAGCAACACTGTATTATCATTTACTGAGGGGCTTGAAGATTTTGGCACTGCATTACTCACTACACACACCCATGTCTTTATTCTGGGTGCTGAGGATGGAGCCCAGGGCCTTCCCTGTACGCAGCAGCTGCTCTGCCACTGAGCTTGGCACCATACCAATGTATGTTTAGTATGTTCAAAGCCAGAGCACTGAGGCAGGTCCGTGGGATAAATGTGAAAAGTATAGTCAATCCAGTTGCTGGCTTTGAAAGGTGTCCTGTATGGTAGAAGACTCATTTTGTCAGCTTAAGAATGAATCTTACATACAATGCTCCAAGAACAGAAGTCTTTAAATATGTTTGTGTGCCCATGTGAAGCTTTTTCTAAGAATTCCTTGGCTGAGTATATATCCCATTTTTTTTTAATTTTGAGAAGGATCTTGCTGTAAGTTGCTACATTGCCCCAGATGGGGATGGCTTTTGAGCCTCCTGCCTCAGCTTCTCCTAGTGCAGAAGCTGTTCTGAGTCATTGTGTGTGAACTCAGTTCTCATGGCAGCTGCTGCACATGGCTAGGACTGAATGAAACCAAACAGGACTCTCCTGCTGGGGTTGGAGGCACAGCCTCCCAGCTTCCTCAGCTGGGGGTTCTCTGGCCCCCCTTTTCAGTGGCTGGCAGCCACTCCGAGGGCAGTTTGCTGCCACAGCACAGGCAGCACCTCTACAAATGATAGCAACCAGATGTGTGCTAGGTTTCTTCAGATGTGCTGTGCGCAGTTCCTCAAGTTCCTTGGCCACATTCCACTGAGCTGAGCAGAGCCAGGTATGTGCCCTTGGTGCTTTACATGGGCTCATTCCCCTTTTGTGTTGTTTCAGGTACAGCCAGGCTGACGCCCTGAAATACGTGGGCATTGAGCGCGAGATGGAAATCCCTTGACATCTGCTACCTCCTCTTCCCCTTCCTCTGAAACAGCTGCCTTAGCTTCAGGAACCTCGAGTACTGTGGGCAACTTAGAAAAGAAAATGCAGTTTGAAATTCTGAATTTGCAAAGTACTGTAACAATAATTTATAGTAACAAGTTTAAAAATCAACTTTTTATTGCCTTCTCACCAGCTGCAAAGTGTTTTGTACCAGTGAATTTTTGCAATAATGCAGTATGGTACATTTCAACTTTGAATTTGTACCAGTGAATTTTTGCAATAATGCAGTATGGTACATTTTTCAACTTTGAATAAAGTATACTTGAACTTCTCCTTGTTGAGTCAACTATCATCAGGTTTCCTCAACTGACTCTTAAAAGGGCTGCTGTGTCAGGTGATTTCTCAGGCTGTCCTGAGGTGATGATCTCTGGGCACACCTGGGCTCTGCTCACAGCAGAGATGTGATGTGTTGGTGCCGCCAGGGTTCTGGGCAGCCAGCAGGTAATGCTTACTGCAACAGAAGGCTTCTAGGCATGGCAAGAAGGGTACTTTTCACTAACTTCTCTGCATACCGTGGGTTTCTGAGAAGCACATGATCACATCCTGCTCTGCTGTACCCTCACACACAAGGCTACAGTTGGAAGGGCGGACGTCCAGCACAGGTGGCCTCACGAGGTGAATGAAGGCGCTGCTGGCCAGATACTGTCCATGTAGGATCTTGTGTAATTTATATGGCAAGAACAATTGTAACCAATCAATCATTGCTTATTTTTGGGACTGTGTGGCTCATCATTTATCTTCAGCCCTGTGTCCACTGAATTGGACAAATGACAGATCATCAAAGGAGGAAGGAGCCTTAGCATTGTTAAATCTTGCTGGAATTAGTGGAAATAAATGCTTACACTCTCAATCTTTTGTTAGAAAGGATCACAGTGATGGCCTGGCGTGGTGGCGCATGCGTATAATCCCAGCACATGGGAAGCTTAGGCAGGAGGATCGCCTCGAGTTCAAGGCCAGCCTGAATTCCATAGTAAGTTGTCTCAAAAAAACAAAACAACAAATGAGCCCAGTGAGGGCTCCATCTAGATCTCTGTATAAGTTGCCTGGTGCTTACCTGATCAGGTGGAAATTTAGGAGTTAACACTTTTTAAGCCAATCCCCCAGAGTTACCCATGTCTGGACTCTGTATCTTCCTATATCCCAGGCAGCCTGGATTCCCAGGGCCCTAACCCCGAGCCCTCTGGCCACTGGAAGCCAGAACACTACTCACCTGCTAGGAAAGAGGGCTACTCTTCAAAGCCATCCAGAACACATCACCACCCAGCTTGATCTGCCTCATCCTGTTTTTACATGCTTGTCTTCACCTGTCCCTTGCTGATGCAACCAAAATTCTTTGAGGGAACTCAAACCCTGAGTATGATAGCCCCTCCTTGGATGTGTGTGTTGGGTTTTTCTCTCAGGTATGGCAAAACCCAAGGTGCTTAACATGAAGAATATCTAAAATACAAAAAAAGTGCTTTATACTTTAGGATCCTGCATGTCCTGGAGCTGCTCTGCTCTTGCTATTTCTGTGGTTTGGGGGCCTAGCTGCTGGTGGCGAAGTGGCTGGCTGGTGGCCCCAGAGGTCCAGGCTGCTGTGCTCACTCTGCTCTTGGCCCTCAGTGCTCAGTGATCCACACAGCCTGCATAAAAGGCCCAGCTCTGATAACCTCACTTAAGACTTTTCTTCACCCGCAAGGCAAAATGTGAATTTACTGAGGGTGTAAAGTTGCTGAAGATTACCAGCACTGGCCAAGGTGGGTGAGTCTCACTGTGGAGGCTCATGCTGAGGAAAACTGGGGTTGAAGTGGCTTTATAAAAACTCCTGGAGAGCATCCAAAGATAAAAGCAAGAATGCTGTTATGGGCGGGTTTGGGACTGAGATGAAATTGTACTGGGCTCAACTTGGTGAAACCAGTAATGGCAACTGAATAGAAAGCCCACTGCATTATAGTGTTGCGGTTAAGTATGTCTGTCCAAAGGAAAGTGGGCAGAGGAGCTGCATATCCCCTGCTGGGGTATGGTTTCCCTGAACTGACAAACTCAAGGCTTATGGCTGCTGCTAGCCAGGGTTGCATGCAAAGCAGGAGAATCATAAGTTTGACCTCAGCATGGGCAACCTAGCAAGACCTCTCTCAAAAATGGGCAGAGGATGTAGTTCAGTGTGAAGCTCCTGGGTTCAAACTCCTGTACTCCAAAATCCAGTGCTGCCGAAGGCCCTTAGGGGGTGCACAACCAAATGGCTGAGTGCCAGGCTGCAGATTAGGGAATGAACTCACTTGCAGGGAAGTGACTCCCGGTCTTGGGCAGGGTGAGGAGGTAGGGGGTAAAGGTCAGAGAACTCCAGCTGCAGTTCCAGTCACACCAGTGACAGCACCATACCCCCAGGAGGCAGGAGCAAGGCACTCACTGCCCGTGACTCATCTAACCTTCTCCACACCACACTCCCTGCCACCCCGCAGATACTGCTGCACCTCAGTACCTCTCATTTCCCCAGACTCCAGCACGCCTTCTCCAGGTGGGCCCAGGCATCTCTGCTGCACTCAGGAGGGAGGCAGGTGGCGGGCATTATACACTGGGGATTGAAGGAGATAGAGACACTGAAAACTGTTAGTGCATTAAATGCCAGGCTGTTCTGAGAACCCCAAGAATTCTACCCTCTCTAGCTCTGCCTCTTTGCTCAGACCCTGGTACCAGAGCAGTTGGCTAAGGATGCTTGTGTATCTACTGCTTAAGAAACTGGAGGCACTTTGAAATCTGAGGAAATGAAGCCAAATGGAGCAAAGCATCCTCCCCACCATCACCATCTCCGCTCCTGCCCTTGGCCAGGATCACACCAGACAGAACAGAGGACATAGCTGGGTAGTTGGGGCCGAGGGTGTGCAGCATAAGCCCCAACCCTGACTCTTTGGGGGTACTGGATATACTCACTGTCCTGGGAGTAGCAGGTTTTCTGATGGCTGGGAACAAGGTCCAGTCCACCAGCAGATGCCTCAAAAACCAGGATCCTGGGCTCTTACTGGATGGGGAGGAAGGACTCACCTTGTCCTCCAGGCCAGGGTGTCTCACCGGAAACCACTGTTAGCTCCAGTTGGCAACAGGGCAGAACCAGAACCAGAACCGTGGGTGAGGAAGGTTGCAGAGCTTGTTCTGCTGGAACTCACTTTCTGCCCTCATCTACTCAGCAGAGGTTAGAGCCACACAGCCAGCTTGGTTCCACCTGTGAATCCCAGCCCCTCTGCTAAACAGTGACAACAGCCCCACCCACTGCTCCAGTTTCTCCACACAAGGCACAGAGAACTGACACGTTAGTCCTTCCAGTGTCAGCCAGGCCTGGACTGGAACCTGAGGCTGCTGGGCTGCACTCAAGTCACCAGAATGAGTCTCAGAAGCAAGCTTGGAGGCAGACGAAGTTGCACAGGCCAAAGGTCTTCAGATCACAGTGCAGCCGCTTGGGCTTCAGAAGACACTGGGAACAGAAAGCTGCACAATCATTTTATCTTTCATTTACATACAGAAATTAGTAAAATTTAAAACAGAACCAAATGTGACTTGTACAGAAATCCTTTAATTTTCTTTATTTTCACACATTAAAAAATGAAACACACTATACAAATGGTTTCCATAGCAGATTACACGTGGGTCCATTCAGACTTCCTCTCAAAGTGCTGCTGACATTGCAGGCGCTGCCCGACGACAGCTTCGAACAGGTGGCCAATGTATTGATTTAGATGCAGTAGCATGCAGCCCTCGCACGAAGGGTCAGCCCCTCTGTTCTTAAATTAGGTTAAATGGCGACGGTGTCCGTATGTACAGACTTGAAATGTATCAGTCCTGAGCAGTTCTGCTGGGAGGCCAAGGCCAGGGTTAAAAAGGGTGGTCCGCGTGGCAGCAGGCATGATGAGCTCTCCTGCTGGCTGACCTGCTGGGTTGAGCTCAGCCCCTCCACAAGCGTTAGGCCAAGTAACTGTAGGTGTCCTTCTCTCCATCCACTCGCTCCAAATACTCCTTCTCGATCAGAATGTCAATGCATTTCTGGGCATTAATTTTGGAAAGGAAGAGAAGTGAGAGGGAAGAAAAACCACCACCAGCACAGAGGCCGACCCCCCACACCCTCTGTCTCAGTGGCTGTCCACTGGCCCTGAAAAGCTGTGTGGCCCAGAACTTTACTGCCCAGACACCAGACACTCGGTGACACTTGCTGAGATGACTGCTAGAGCTGGGCCAGAACCTCCCCTCCCACCCAAGCCTAGAGAGCCAGGAGCACATGGCAGGTGGCAGCTGGGAACTCAGTGCCTGCTTGGTGTCCACTGCCACCCTGTGCTCACAAAGGCTACAAGTGAGCTTTCAGGAAGGAGAGACCCGCTGAGCTCCAGTTCTAAACAAGCCCCAGGACAAAGGAGCCAAGCACAACCACAGCAGAACACCTGCGTGGTGACTCAGGACCAAACAGCACCACACACTGCAGCACACGGACTCTGTGATAATGACACTCACGTCCTCAGTGCTCATCCTGAGCTGGTGCTGGCAGGCTGTGCCCATGTACCGCCACACACTGCCACAGCCAGGTAGGCAGCCTGGGAGCTTGGGGCTTCAGGGATGCTGGCGACCTTACTTATTTGGTGTATGTCACACAATGTGTTTGCTTGGCAAAAATTACTAAGCTATATACTTTCAACTTGTATACTTCTCTGAATATGTATTCCAAGAGACAGTGTGGAGCTGCTTTCCTTTGCTGCGCCTATCCCATGCGTACAAGCCGCCCTCTTACTCCTCTTGCCATCTTTCCCTCTAAGCTATACCCCAGCGCTGCTATTCCTCACCTTGATCACCGGAACCCGGGGCTTGAACCTGGAGGACAGCTGCGTGAGGACCTCACCGAGGAGCTGCTGGTGCTTCAGGACCTTACGCATCTTCATGATGCGCACAATGGCTGCCTGTGCAGGACAAGGCTGTGTGAGCTGGTGGGAGGCTTCACCACTGTGGGTGCCACCTCAGCAGCCCGTGCTGCTTCCTAGAGGTGACAGGTCAGGTCCAACTCCACTCGCCCAGGTCCCAGCATGAATGTACTGAACAATAAAAGCGTCTGGGTTCCACAAGTGATTTTAATAAAAAGGGTTAAGTCAATCTTCAAAGCCATGGAAGCCACCCACCCTCCCTCAATAGCTCTGCTTCCATTTGGTCTCATCTCCACTGCCACACTGACCTGCCTCCTGACATGCAGGGCAGGGGGACTGCGCTGGTTTACCATGTGTGGGGGATGAACCAGCCAGGTCCCAGCACACGATCCATTGTGCCCCCAGCCTCATCCTCTGGGGAAGACTCAGCCCAGAGGGCTCTAGTCACCTGGATCAGGAGTTTGCGGTCCTCCTCAATGTTTTTGTGTGTGGTTTCCTGCTCCTGCTTCTGCTCAGTTTTCATTGGCACGTTGATGTTAACTCTTAACTTCTTACTGTCGAGAAATGCGAGGAAAGCCATCACTGTTGTTTGCAAAGGGAGGCAAGAGGGCACAAAGGTTCTTCCTCCTCTGCTGCACAGCTTCTGCCAATGACCCCGAATGCCTTCCACCCAACAAGCTGTTACAGGGTACTTTCCTGCTTTGCCAGTAGCAGTGACAAATAACAGTGACATTCACGCCTATAATCCTAGCTGCTCTGGAGTTTGAGGGAGAAAGACCACTAACCTGGACAACTTAGTGAGACCATGTCTTAGAAAAAACGGAGAGAGACGAGGGCTGTGGCTCTGTAGCAGAGCACTTGCCAGGTGTGCAAGAGGTCTGGGTTGCACCCCAAGTCCGGGCCTGATCCCCCAGTTTTGTCACGTGAAACAAAAAGTGAGACACTGCAAACTCTACAGGCAAGCCCTTTAAGGAGACCTATTTTCCAAGTAAAGAAAACCCAAGGGTGGGGCTGCCCTACAGGACAGAAGGCCTCCATCAGATCTCTGTGAGAGGCCTGGGATGTGTTCCTAGGGCCAGGTGACAAGTCTGTGGTCTAGGACCATCTGCTTATTAAATTGTTCTTACTTTTTATAACCGAGATACAATTTTATTAAAGTGTCTGGCTTCAATTCCACCTCATCAACATTTGCATTTTCGTCTTCCAAGACCTGTAAGAAAACACTTGTTATTATGTAAATCTCAGGAAATGGCTTTCTTTGGGCCTAACATTCATGATGCACAAACTTACCAGTAATTTCGACTTCAATAGAATCTGTAGGACTTGTGCCAAAATGTCCTGATTAAAGAGGAAAAGACAGTTAAAGGCAAGGGCATTTTTCTCTGTAATTACCACCAACAATGCTATAGTCTCTCCCAAAGAGGAAGACTGCCCAGAGATGGGCTTCTGAGTGGTTCCCTGCAGTACTCCCCACACCTTGGACTTCTAGAAGCAGAAAAGACCCCTTTCTGGCCCTCAACACTTTCTACATGCCTGGTACCATCTCAGTCACTGATTATAGATAGTGCTGTGGACTCTTTCGGGCTAGGCAAGTGCTCTACCACTAGCTCAGCCCTGGGATTGTGCAGGACATGGCAAGACTTAGCCCGGCTGTTGCGGAGGGCTGTGTGGTCACTTCTCAGCTCCTGGGCACTCCCACCTCATCTCCTCCGCAGAGGGACAAATGTCTCGCCCTCAGCACAGCAGGTACCTTTTCCGGCCCAGCTGTATGTGGCTAAGGCCATCAGAGTGAGGCCTCTAGTCCATTCATGGCTCAGGCAGGGAGGAGAGCAGCCCAGCCCCACAAGGGAATCGAACATGGAAAGTGAGCAGAGGCTGGGGTAGCCTTGAGAAGCCAGCTTCCGCACACCACCCTCCCACACCTGGGGAGCAACTGAGGCCACCCTGAGCTGTCGTCTCCTTGTGAGATACAGGAGAGAAGGGATCAGAAGAGACACACACACAAGAGTTTCACAGCCAGGCCCTGGCCAGGAGCTCCAGGAATGTGCCTGACCTCTCCAACACTAGTGGGGCAAATCAGGTATGTGCTGGCATGCATAGATCACTTCTCCCCCACCCATTATATGCATCTTCCTAATCCAAGTCCCAGGGATGTGGCAGTCCTGCTGCTCTCCCGAAACACACTTTCGCCCCATGGAGTGCCCAGGAAGCTGCACTCTGCAAACCTGGCTCAGCTCTTTCCTGGGTCTCCAGGCACCTTTGGGTCATGTGTGGCTGGGCCTGAGTTTTTCCAGAGCAGACATCCAGCAACCCCTTCCCTATACCGCCCTCAAGGACAAGGAAGCAGCACGTGGGCTGGCAGGCATACCATTTTGATCTGGGTGCTGTCTGTCAGCTGTTGCACAGTGTAGGCATCCTCTGAGTTGTACTGCAGCAGGATTGCCATCTGGAACGTGGACGCCTTCAAGGGCCCCCATAGAAGGAGAGAGAACAATTTAAAAACACGGGGAAAAGATCTGCAAATACAGAGACCAAGCTGACCAAACAAATTCTTCAAGCAGGTGCAAAAACACTGAAGAACTATTTAAAAGAACACAGTGTTGTGTTGCCACTACAATGCCATATTTTCCTGAAAGGCAAATCATTTCCTCTCTTTTCAAACGAGCATGAATTTTCTTCTAAATTGTGTTATGTATATAAATATACACCATACATGTATCCACACTCATTTGTACAGATATATCTGTTACACAGAGACAAGAAGCATGCATCTTCAATTTGAATATATGTATTATTATTTTTGTGGGGGGAGGGTTTAAAACAGGGTCTTGTTATATAGTTCAGGCTGGCCTTGAACATGTGGCAACCCTCCTGCCACAGCCTCCTGAGTGCTGGGATTACAGGTCTATGCCACCATGGCCACCATTATTATTATTATTTTTTAACCCTAAGTACTTTACTGTGAATCAAAGCAAGAAAAGTCTGGCACAGTTTAGAGCAATCACAGCCATCCCTGGCCCAACACCAGACTGTGTGCCAGGCAGTCCATGATGCTTGGGGCAATACCTTGATCACTGTGAAAAGTGGACAGTGAGCTGTGCCTGTCCTAGGGGGACACAAAAGCTGAGATTCTGGTTCTCCATATATAAGCTGGGATCTGAGAAAAGTCTCTTAAATTAACCGGGCCTGTTTTCTCGCCCACAAACTGGAAATAGGCTAGTTACACATTTATTATTATTCAGCACTGAGCACTGCTATCAGCTCTGGCAGTCCTGATTGATGTGGCACTGCTGTTAGAGGGAAAGACTCATCACATGCATTTCTAGCTTCTTAAGCCACCACTTGGATATTCAGTGTGCATGGCACCAACACCATGAGACATTATCCATCTTACTTTCATACCACTGCAAGGGAGCCGCCCCAATGTCTCTGAGTGCAGGGAAGGTGAGGCTCAGAGGTATGAACAGTTCCACGCTTCAGACTATGGCGCCTGTGCTTCACCCTCTGTACTACCTAATCACACACAACTCTAGATTCTGGTGTGGGAATTACCTGATTCTGACTGCTATAATTTGTCTTATCTTCACTTAGAATTTAAAATTTTTCCTCAAAATAAAAAGGTGATCTTACCTGCAAGGTGTATCTGTTTTTGAAGCAGTTAGTTACCAGTTCTCCCTTGGACAGCTGATATAACCAGGTCAATTTCCTGCCGCTATGACGACTAGCGTAGAAAGCTGTGAATCGCTGATAACTGCGTTCCAACTGGACGGAAGCAGAACATTGGTTATGTGGCACCCATCCCTAAATGCGCCACGCAGCCAGCACTTCTAGGTACACACTGCTGCACTTACAGCACAGAACTGGCACCCCGATCGAAGTGAATACGATTGTCAGGGGTGTGACTTCCGCAGAAAGCACTGCAGACACCAGAGGGTGAAGTCAAAGCAGGTGTCACCTTCTAGCCCAGGAGGTGCCACCGAGTGCTTGTTATAGAACCACACAGACTATGCTAAGAGTAAATGGGCACCACGGGCTCGGACAGATGCTCAGCCTTGAGCCCACCACCTGGGGCCACAGCCACCCTTCCCCTCTCCCCTGCCCAGCAACAGAGGATGAAGCCAGCCCTACCTCAGACGGCAAGGCGAATGTGCATGACTGCTGGAAGGGCCATGACCCGGAGCTCAGGACCTGGATACTAAAATCCACTGTGGGATAAAATTCGGGAATGCATTTACTCAGTCTCATGATCTGAAAAAGCAGACTGCTTAGTTAATGTGGAATGCTACACATTACATGGAAAATTCTAATTGAATATAAAATTAAGAACAGAATATATCATTTCAACTCATTTTACTCAATTAAAATTAGTAAAAAGTGGAAAAGTCAGATATTCTCTTCCTTCCGAGTGAGATTTTCATTTTTGTCTGATGTAGAGCTGTGGCGCCCTATTTTTTTTCATTAAGCTTATTGGCATATTTTATTAAAAAAATTTTTTTTGACTTTGCCCTTGTGAGGCAGTGGCACAACCACTAAGCTAAATCCCCAGCTTTTGGTACATTCTAGGTGTACAACTTAACATTCATCATTGGGAATGTGTATCTTTACAAGATATCTTGGTTCTTGTTTTACCCCATTCCTGCCCTCCCTTCAATCCTTCTACCTATTTACAAAGATTTTGTTTCCATTTTTTCCTTTTCTCATATATTTTTCTCTTCCCTTCTTTCCTTTCTCATACTCCTCCCCTTTATAGCCTTTCTTCCTGTTTCGCATTAGCTATTATACATTTTGATTCTTATTTATACTTTCAGTTTCTCACACCAGAGAAATTATTTGGCTTTTCCACGTCTGTCCTATTTATTTCATTTAAGAATGTGGCCTCGGGCTGGGGATTTAGCTTAGTGCTTCTGCAGCCTGTCTTGCAAGCAAAGAAAGAAAGAAAAAGAAAGAAAGAAAGAAAGAAAAGAAAGAAAGAAAGAGAATATGGCCCTCCTCGGGCTGGGGATTTAGCTTAGTGCTTCTGCAGCCTGTCTTGCAAGCAAAGAAAGAAAGAAAGAAAGAAAAGAAAGAAAGAAAGAGAATATGGCCTCAGTGTGCAATCATTTAGCCCTAAATAACTAGTTTCTCCTTTATGGCTGAGTAGTACTCCTTTTTAGGGAAAAAAACCAAACAAACCCCAAAACGCATCTTCTTATCCAGACTCCAAGTGATGGGCAGCTGGGCTGTTTCTAAGTTTTAGCTATTACAAACTGTTGTGGTGCCCTATGTTACTCTGCTGTGCCTACGATCATTCTCTGCAGTGACCAATTCAGTCTACTCGGGCCACACTCCGGGTGATAGACACAACAGCCCCCAGTGTAAGGGCGCTGCAAGCCCAGGTACCTGCTGCCCTTCCCTTGATGTGTGCCCCAGTTACTCCTTCAGAGGACACAGTGGAGACACATCTAACTTACAACTCACAACAGCATGTCAAATTTAACAATGGGAAAGCCTTACAATCTGAGAAGAGCAAAACTCCACTTTTTATTTCAAATGACAAAGACTACCCCGATGATGTCAGCATAAGCCTGGTGCAACAGCCCACTTTACTCTCTCTATCTCTATTCTACAGTCCAGGGGGAGTCCTGAGAATTAAAAGTTTTGAAATGGATCCAAAGTTAGGTGCAAAACAAAGCTGAACAAGCCCGGGAGCCCCTTCTGTGTGTGCAGGCTGAGAAGTCAGTAAGCACAAGAGGCCCTTAATTGGGACCCAGATGCAGCGTGCAGTAGCCCCGGGTTGCTATGTGACCTGGGCTGAGACCTCGGATTGCCAAACGCTGTCCCTGAGTGGCGGAGGAACATCCTGTTTCTTCACCTCTGAATTTAAGACAGAATGTCTACTACCTTCACACCCTCACTTACCCCTCATTATTTATCTGCTAGAAACAATTCTGCTGTGAAAGAAGCCCTGAATTACTTGCTACTCACGGTCCAGGGGTTCCGAATTCGTCAGGTGCTTTTTGAACTGCTCATTCAAGTCTTTGCTTACGCCAATGTCTTGAAACATCCGCTGGAGTTTGGAGGTATACTCAAAACCACAAGCTTGCTGAAATGAATCCAGCAAATTGTCTCATTAATTTGTACAGAAATATAAATGTATACAAAGAAACTCAGAGAAGTCACAGTATAATTGTACAAAATACACTAAAATTAGTAACATTTAGTTACATTTTATAGTATAAATATGCACTGATTCAAATTAAAACACTCTCAGCTGTGTGAAGCAGTGACTGCCTGTAATCTTAACTCTTAAGGAGGCTGAGGCAGGAAGATCACAGGTTGGGAAGCCAGCCCAGGCAACTCAATGAGAGACTCAAAATGAAATGGTATGGGCCTATATAGCTCAGTGACAATGTGCTTGACTAGCAATAGATGAGGCCCTGGCAAAGCAAAGCAAATCAATAAAAGCACCCCACACCACTACCCAAGGGAATTCTAAGCACAACAGTTAGTTCTTCATATACCCAACAACCATTATCTGAGCACCTAGAAGCAACAACGTGAAATGATTTGTCTCTCAGCACTGCACTCTTGGCGAGTGCCAAGATGGCAGAAGTGAGGAGGACTTGATAGCAGACGTCAGGCCTGACCCTCCTGCAGGTGGCACAGAACCAAGCAGAATGTGCAGACAGTGCACGGTCAACTGCACAGCGCAGGCGCGGGAGGCACCAAGAGGCAGAGGGAAAGCATTGCTGGTCCGATGGTGCGGTGGGTTTCAGCAGTGCATAGTACAGCTCACACTGCACAGACTCCTCTGCCCACACCGAAAGCCTAGAGAGATGAACAGCTCTGCAGCAATGTCCAGACCCTGGCTCCAGGGAAGGGCAAAACTCACCTTCAGCTTGGAGATCATGCTGGCCTCGGCATCATCACTAGCGCTGTTCTGGTGCACCAGCCTCTTGGCCAACATCTTTGCATAGAACTTCTGGAACACATCTTTGTCCTCGATGTACTTGAAGACAACCATCTGGCAATGCCCAGAGAATAGGTTAGCGACACTGTACCCAAGCTGACGGGCCACATGCTGGCGGCCGGCAGGGACTTGGTCTCAGCTGGGCCTGTGTGCCAATGCACATGGCAACATCTCTGTCTGGGGGTTCACAGTAAGCATTCCCATCAGCCCCTCAAATCATACCACACTGACTAGACTCCACCCCAGTAGGGAAAATGCCAGCACTGAGAGTAATGGCTGCATGTAAGGAGCAAAGCATAAAGCAAAAATGGAGTCACTGACGAGCACTGTGGACTTCTTGGATGCCCTATGTACACAGCTCCATGCACAGCCTGGAAAACAGCCCCTGAAAATGGGTTTCTACCACAAAGGTAGAAAGCACCTTACCACTTGATTGAGTGTGTCTTCTAGTTCCGCCTCTTCTGGGTTCTTGGAACTGAAATTTGAAAGAAGGCAATGTGTTTTAAAAACAAAGGACCAAAAATTTACACAAGCACCCTTAGCCCAGTCATCCTATGAGAACATGGTTTGGAGCTCAAATGACCAGCGCGCCTCAGAATGATCCACAGATAAGGGGGGTCGGCAGGCCGTGAATTGACCACTCAGAATAGCCAAGGGAAAAGCAACACAAGAGATTTATAAAAAGCTTCCAAAACAGGAATGAAGTTTTCCTTTAAAACAATCCATTTCCATATCAGTCAACAAGCTCCACTTTTCCAAATGCTTTTTACAGTCTGTTATAATTCATCCCTGAAAAAACCAAGAGACATGCTTCCCCTTTTCAGGACCTAATAACGAAAGATAATGATACAGCTTAAACTATAGCTGTCTGCTGCAGTCGGTAGCTGTACCTACAAAGCTGAGAACTGACTCATTCCTGCTATGAACAAACAGTAATCAAAGGTGACTTCAGGGTAAATGAAATTTTTCTTGGGAGAGTTCTTCATAAACGAGACTCCTTAATTCATACAAAATGAAGGAGCTGCTTATTAACAAGTGCTGCTGAGGCTTTTGAACTAAGAACCTCTAGCCCTGTTCTCTCCTCAGCAGGTGGCAGGTGGGGCACTTTCTCCCTGGATGCCCCTCCCCAGAGTGGCTGGAGGAACAACACATTGCTGCCCTGCCTGCTTCAGTGGCCTTCAAGGAGAACACCTCAGGGACGTGAGTAAGGCAGTATGCATACAGAAAGAGGGGCCACAGGACATTTGTCTGTCCAACAATCTCAATATCACATACAGCATCATCTCCACACTGAATTACTCACATTACAATACAGCTTTAAAAAGTGACATCAAGTCCTAAGAAGCATTTTAGTAAATCCTTTTTCTTTTTTGGACAGATCATTGGGGTGCCTGGATACAACTGCTAAATAATACATTAGACCAGCATGGTAATAAGTAGAAATAACTACAAGTTCTCATTGGCATAAGGGAATAGCTTTCTGACAGAAAAGAGATGGCAATTTTAAAAATTAATTAAAACTACTTTTTGAAAAAGGGAAGCTGGGCATGGTGGGGAATGCCTGTAACCCCAGCATTCGGGAGGCTGAGGCAGGAGGATCGCTGAGTCTGAGACCAGCCTGGGCTACACAGTGAGTTTCAGGTCAGTCTCAACTACATAGTGAGACCCTGTCTCAAAAAACCAACACCCCCCACCCAAGGGATAGATATTGACCCCTACCAAATTTTTTCTCCCATTATCTACCAAGGAGACCACACAGAGTTCACTGTTATCACAGGGAATGATCTCAGATTTGCTATTGCTGAGCAGCTTTACATTCCTGGGAAGCTGTGTATACTGGTTTGCACAAGGACTCTGGTACACTACTAACTTTGGACTGGTGGCATTTTAAGACATCTTCAGCTCTCTTCAGTGAGGCTTGCCTGTAGTCTTTCTATGCTGGACGTGAGGCATTTGAGTCTTTGTTTTGTAATGAGGCTGTGTTAGCCTCTGAGAGCTGTTTAAATGCTATTTACTAGTAAAACCAAAACCAGCTCAATCTGGGGATGTGTGAAATTACTGCAACAGAAAGCCAGAAGGAGATCGACTCCCTTCATGAAAATCTTCAACGTGTGTTGTGACAGCTGGGATTGCAAAGCAAACCGTGACCACTTCTGAAGGGAACTGGGAAAGGGGAGGAGACTCGGAGGGAAACCAGGGACAAACCCGCAAAATCTGAACTTGCAGACACACAGTGCTGGGGAGAGGGCCACAGCCAAGTGTGTTGTGCTGTCTCCACCTCTCTGTAAACTCAGATGAGGAGAAGTAGACCATGGAAAAGTCATGACTAACAATCAGCAATGCAGCTATGCACCCATTGAAAAGAGATCTTTGAAACACATAGTCACAAAGTATTGAAGAACACTTTTCTGCTGTTCACAAACAGCCACTGGGAGCTGGTACAGATTTAACTGGAAATGTGATGCATTATCTCTCTCATCTTGAAAAGTACAAAGATTACACTTTAATGTATATAAAATGGAATGTCTATTTTAATTCCTCATATCAAAGCTAAGATTGTAAGAAAAAGGAATCATTCAATATACCTTTTCTTCAACAAGGAATCACAGTATCGAGCCAGCAACTCAGGAGATTTACTGGACGACTGAGCCATTTTGGTGACTGCATTGTTGTTGATGAAGCGACCGCAAGCCTGTATTACACAGAAGAGAGTTAGAGGACAGAGACCCACCCACCTGTGCTTCCAGAAGGCACAACAGCAAATGACTCACTTTATCCAGTGCAGCCACAAAGCCGGCGTCATTGTTGAAGGCTGACATCACCAGAGCATTGTATTTTTTATGAACATCCAGCACTGTCTGTACATACATTTTGGGGTCCTTAGAAAACAAGAAAAAAATTGGATATTGAGAATTAAACTGCACATTTACAAGTCAATATGAAATGTTCTAAAGGGCTTATTAGGGGCATCTTTCAAGAAGTTATGAATATGATTAAATACTTTCAGTTTTACCACTGAAATATACAGGACATTCTATTTGTATATAACAGAAAAGAAATTACATCTGCCAGACTCAAAATTAAATACTGATTTCAAGCCCATATTTAAAATAGCAAAGACAGGGCCGGGGATTTAGCTCAGTGGTTCTGCCGCCTGCCTTACAAGCAACAAGGTCCTGAGTTCGATCCCCAGTACCAAAAAAAAAAAAAGCAAAGCAAAGACACAGATAGGTGTAGTGGTACCTGCCATTAATTCCAGCCCTCAGGAGGCTGAGACAGGAGGATTGTGGCAAGTTTGAGACCAAACTGGGCCATAGGACAAGATCCTCTCCAAAAAAAAAGACAGAAAAAGCAATAATGCAGTTCTTGAAAATAAAAATTTCAAAGTCTAAGTGTAAAGTGACAGCTTTGTTCAGACATTTTCTAAAAATTCAAATTCTGAACTTACTAGGCAAATAAGAGACAGTGGATGTGCAATGGGTGGAGACTTGGGCACTGGGCTAGTGGAGAGAGCACATCTCCTTACAGCAGTCACAGAATGGAAGGGCGGGGAAAGGCAGCCGCCAGAGAAGCCAGGAGGCGATGCTCTAGGAGGTGAGAGGCAAAAACACTTTGTGGCTGACACCGAGCACTCCCTGCGTGGTAAACTCCTGTGGCAGCACAAGGACCTTCACACCCACAGGTGAGGCGGACACAACTGTTACAGTTGGAGGAACAAGTCAGAACTATGCATGTGGGCCAGGCTCAGGAACAGATGGGTGACGAGTCTGACACAGTCTCTCTATAGCTTTACAAAGGGAAAAGGCCCAAGGGCCAAGTCAGAGACACGGGTGACAAAAATGGTATAGCAGGCGACAAGCCAAGGGACAGAGGTCTGTTACAGAACAGCTGGCAGTGCTCTGCCATTGTTCCCAAGTTCACAAAGTATGCATTTACAGCATTCAGAAATGAGGAACCAGAACCCCCAAAATTCTCATTATTCTGCATTTTGGGTAACATTTTACTTGTTTTTAACTAATAAATAATCATTTAGAGGATAACTTTATAATAGAAAAATTAAAGTTTCAGAGGTTTTCTATACAAAAAAAAAAAAAGAAAAAGAAAGAAAGAAAGACACAATAAACCCATGAGCTATAACTACCACTCTGGCTGAGCCAGTTTCTATAGCTTTCTGATTGTGTCTTCCCTCTGCCTGTCTTCAGCCACAGAGAAGCATTACCATGTGAATTCAAATAAGGGGCACTCTGATTTCTCAGTGAGGTGAACAGAATGTCGAAGTGCTAATTTAAGGCTTTGCTTGCTTCCAAAGCTTGCAGTTTTTGGAATACCACTCATACAATTATTATAAAGTACATTTTGTATATAAACATATGAACACTTACTTTTTTTTTTTGGTACCAGGGATCAAACTCAGAAACTTGCCCTTGCAAGGCAGGCACAGCGCCACTGAGCTAAATCCCCAACACTTGAACATTTACTTTTTACAAGAATCACTCAACATTAGCAGGAGACAAGGAGGCACCTACTGAGTGGCCCTTGAGTATCCCGGCAAGGCCAGATTTTGCCCATGCCTGTGCAGCACTGCCCTGGCTGAATTCTCAGAACCAGTGATGACTCTATGCTTACTGCTACTGTGTTTCTCAGGAGCATGACAACTTTTTCTCCTTATTTCTCAGGTTTTTTTTTTTAACTAATTTTTGTCAGATTTGGGGTTTGGAAAAATACAAATTTCCCAAGAAATGCCCAGAAGGACTTTCCATGTGGGAAGAAATCTTTGCCAAGTTCTGGACTCCAAATCCAAGGTTCTATGTACTCAAGAAGACCCAGCACAGTGAGGGCAGGTGGCCAGGGAGGTAATGCTGAAATAGGAATAGCAAGGGCAAGAGCATGCCCAAATCCTGGGCTGGGAAGTGTGGACTCTGAGGGCCAGAGAGAGACCACTCAGGAGCTTCCAAGCTTCCCCTTTTCTAAGCAAGTCTTCCCAAGGAGTTTCTCCAGCCTATTGCAATAGGAGCTGCCTCTCTGACAGGGCATCAGCTTAGTGAGGCCCCGAGGCTAGTATGATTCTCACACAACTTCACAGAGAGAAAATATACTTTGCGAGTCTAACATAAGTTCTATTTATCTTATCCATCCTTAAAATGGTAAACCACAAAGAAAACACATGGGGGTCAAAGGCTCTTCTCTCATGGAGAATCTATATAAAGATGGATACAATTTCTGAGGATCAGCTGTGGCTAGCTATCATGACAGCACTCAAGTCACCCAGTGACTCAGTGCCACCCAAGAATTCTGTCAGAGGAGGACATGGGTCGCTACAGCCTGCATGTATAAAAGGCCGGAACAGAACTTGGGCACCCATCCCTCCCTAGAGCCACTGGAGGAGCATGTTCAGCATCCGTCTTTTATGGGGCCAGAGGCAATAAGAGCAGGTGAAGATATAAGTACTACGTCTTCTGAGAACAGCAGGCAGCAACAACAGATACACCTCAGACACATGGGCCTGGCTTGACACTGCCCATGGTCCTTACCTATGGGTAATCTTGAGAACTTAAGAGGAAAGAAACAAAGCCTCGTGAAGTAACAAACACATCATGTGATAGATCATCTGTGGGCAGTGTATTTCCTCCCATAAGTGCTAGGACCAACTTATCTCAATGCAAAACAAAAGAATGGCCAAAGTCCCCACTCTCCCAGTACACACACACACAATCCCAAACCATACACAGAGACAAACAGGTAACAATCTGTCTCCATAGTGAGATTATCCACTTTGACAATCACTTAGCTGGGTATGGTGGCACACATCTGTAATCCAGGCACTCTGGAGGGTAGGCAGGAGGACTGCTGTGAGTTTGAGGTCAGCCTGAGCTCAAGGCCAGCCTCAAAAAACAAAACAAAACAAAAATCACCCATATATTTTTGAGGTGCCCTTCCCCTAGAAAAATTGAGACTTGGGCCAGGAATAGCTCAGTGGTGCCCACACCTGTTTGACAAGCATATGGTCCTGAATTCAATTCTGGATTAAAAAAAAAAAAAAAAAAAAAAAAAAAAAAAGGGACTCAAATGCAAGGTCTGACAAACCACTTAATAATATGAGTCACACATTTTCTTTTTTCACACATATTCTTAATGAAGCATTTCTGCTCATCACTTAACCTTATTCAATAAACAGAAATAACAGTCTTTTATTTAGACTGTGTGCGGCTTAAATGTTTACTTGTTTTTTGATTTTTTGAGACAGGGTCTCACTATGTTGTTGAGACTGACCTGGAACTCACTATGTAGCCCAGGCTGGTCTCGAACTCAGTGATCCTCCTGCCTCAGCCTCCCAAGTGCTGGGATTACAGGCGAGAGCCACCATGCCCGGCCCTAAATGTTTAAAAATACAGGGATAGAAGCATCAGTATTTAAGAACCGTTTTCTATTCTCATTATTTTAACTTGTCTACAGCTTTCTGCCTTAACTACTATCATTTTCTCCTATGGTCATGGCTCTAAGTCTCTGTCCATACTTTATAAACCTTTGATCATTGCCATTTCCTGACCCCTGCACTCTATGGCTCATGGGCTTTCACGCAGGTGTGCCCAACCTGTGGCCTGTGGGTCAGACACATCTGACTTGTCTGGACCACACTGAGTGAAGGGGAATAGTCTCAGGTGCATAGAGTAGGAAATGCATGTAAATAATAAAGCTTCCTTTATTTTTAATATTTTTGATTGTAACACAGGAACGTCCATCCCACAGACCACCTCATACCAGATCGCTGCTAGTTCTTTTGCACACCTGCATTTTCATTCAATCCTAGGTTAGGTGAAGTCTCTCCTCAGCCTTTTCAAATAACCTCACAAATGCCATAACTATAAGCTGACAGGGTCAGGCTAAATGATCAGAGGTGAAAACACTGAATTTTGCAAGAACTGGGAAAACCAACTCATCATCCGAGACCCATCAAAGCATGCTTTAGAAAGGAACCATTAACCTGGTTCAGACACAGAAAGACGGGGTGGTGGGGGGTTGGGGTGGTGTGTGTGCCTGTCTCAATGAGGACAGGGAAAGGAAGGTGCGCAGTCGGTCTCAGATCAGCCTTGAACTGATCGGTGGTCACTTGTAAATACACAGGAAGATTTAATTTACAATTTAGTTTTTGAGGAGGCATGAGGACTAATTTAGGTATGGACATGCTTCAAGAATGACTTTGTGAGGTGATTAAAGTCTTCCCTCTGAATAACAACTGTGTATTTATTTCTCTTTTAAAGAAAATGGTATTCTATTACAAAAGACCTAATAAATGCAAACATCCTTATTTCCTTGACCTATCCATAAATTTAGCCATATGATATGGAAACCAATTTAAGTTTTCACCAAGTATTGGTTCTTTGTGCAATTACATTCGTCAGTTTGATTTGCTATTATAAATTTTTTTTGGGGGGTGTCTCAAAACAACTGATTCCTTCCTAATATTATCGTAAAACCTGTACATTAAAAAGTTTTAATAGGGAAAATTTCCAATACATTCAAAATAAGAAACAACAGTGCAACCTATGGCTGTAAAAGTCTATGTCAGTGATGGCAAACCTTTTAGGGTTTTCAATGATACAAACAACGCTCTGGAGCACACATGCCATGGGTTCACCACCACTGGTCTAAATTCTCCACACACCATGCCTTCTAGGATCTTATGGATGTGTCAATCCCTCTGGACCAAGCCACAAAAGGTAGACTGTGAGTGAGCCTCTCCAGCTAATTTTTCACAGGTGGGGCGATTCTGTCACCACCCATAGAAGGCTTGCATCAGAGCCCTAGTCTCAGTGTATAGTTCACTACAGAAGAGATGGGAGCCTTAGATGTGTAACCCAAGTCCAAGCCCAGGACAAGT